ATATATATATATATATATATATATATAGAGAGAGAGAGAGAGAGAGAGAGAGTGTCAAGTTATCTTCGCATTTTTTTTCACGTGTTCGCTTATTCATGCCGAATGCTTTCGCGAGAGCGACAGCAATTTGTCCCGCTGTAACGGAAAATTTATGCGACGCATAATTATGCGACGCATAATTTATGCGACGAAAATGATCCGCTTTTTGAGAGGAACACAAAAATGCCGGCAGTACGCGCATGAAACGTCTCCTCTCTGCGAATTCCCGCATTCAACGTCGGCATATTGCTGCGGGCATCGTCGAACACCGAGAACACGTGTGATGTTAATGCACCATAACGGTATGGTGCAATCACGACACACGCGGTGTACAATATTGGCGCGGAAACTCACGCTGGACCTACACCATTGACTGCGAATTTTTGCCGGCTCCTTTTTCTTTCTTCGGCTGCGAGAGCTCGCGACGAGGCCTGCCTGCGCCGCTTAATTGCGCAAACGCGCGTTTTGCAACACTCGCAATTCACCATCCTGCACGGCTGCTTCTTTTTTGTTCTTCCTTGCTACTGAATTGCTGGCGAGCGAATAGCGCGCGCGAGAAGAACCCCACGACAATCACCCTCGTGACATGTGCACATTGGACAGGCTCGTTAACATCCTCGAGTGCTGTATTGCATATTGGAAATTAAAACCACGTGTAACGATCTGTGCTAAAAATATTGAGTAAAACGTGTGTCAGTTATCGTTATGTCAATGTATCACCGTTATACCGATGAGTCATAATTATATACATGTGAATTTTTATTTGACCAATACTCGAGCAGAACCTTGAAGAAAGCGACATAGGTGACTCAATCCCAGATAGACGGACGATTATCACGGCGTGAGGCAACCGACGGTGGAAACTCTTTGCAATCCCTTTAATTACATTTATAAAGTAAATGTACTATATTAAAATAATCATTAAGTTTAATCACGCAATAATCGGTGTTACTACAGAAAGGCAATTTTGAAATTCCCTGAGTTTTTCATGTTTTCCAGATGACAGTGGAGAATTTTCAATAAAAGAAGAATTGTTACCAACATATAATTTTCAATTTTAACGTTTAGGAACAGGGATTACAGAAAAGGCAGCTTATATTATTAAAAGCAATACAAATTTAGTTTAGTAACATAATATTCCTAACATATATTTTTGAAAATGCACATTCAGGCTAACAAAAATTATGACTATTGGAAAAAAGAATGTAGTTATGAGACGGAAAAAGACGATTGAATGAAACAATGCTGAGTAAAATATAAATTTTAATTATTTTGTTAACACATCATGATGCATGGACTAGCATAGATGTATACATACTCAATATAAACTAAAAAAATCTTATTTATTTTTTAAATAACATTTGAATTCCTATACTATACTTATAAACTTTTAACGTTAAAATAAAAAAAAATATTTGACATTAATAAAATCCCTAGTGACCCTAGATTTAGTAACTATCTAGAAATTGTATTATATATTCTTCTCTTATAACTCAGGGAAGGTTATATTAATTTCACAGAATTATAAGAAAACACCAAAATTCCAGGTTATTATATATTTTCCCCTGATATATCCCGGTTTCCCATGACAAATTTAAATTCCATGACTTTTCTCGATTTTCCTGGTTTTCCAGGTCTGTAGCAGCCCTGAATAATGCAATTCTCTGATTGTATAGATGCAGCAACAAATTTATTGAAAGTTGCATTCAGATTTTCACGTTACATAACATATTGTTTCGAGCAAATTTCGATCATTCTTCTAGTATTTCTTGAGTATTTCCATTTCGTCATTCTACGTCACATAAATATCAGTGCCGTATGTATCGCTGATAAGAGGTGCAATTTTTAAAGGTAA